GAACCCGGGCCGCATGCATGCCAGGCGAGCGCGCTACTGCTTGAGCCACATCCCCAGCCCGTAAGGGACATTTTTAAAGAGCTTTTCTGAGGAGTGGGAGCAGCAGGGAGCACTTTGGGGAGGAAGCTCATCTCTGGCCCTGCCCAGTGGTGAGGGCGCCGGGCCTTTCCTGGTGCTGGGTTCCGGAGAACGGAGTCTGGCTGGTGGGAAATAAAGGCTTCCAGTGCCATCGGGTCTCTCTGGAGCAGGGTGGCGCTGAGGAGAGTCCACTGCCTTGTCCCAGTCCTCGCCCTTTATCAGCACATTTACTTGTGAGTGCATCTCACTGTGTGTCCTCGTGTCCCTGGCGCCCTGTTCTGTGTAGCCACCGGGTGCCCTCCTTGTCCCCCTGGAGCTTGTGTCCTAGTGGGAGGCCAGGTAGGCTCGCAGATGTGTGGCCCTCCAGGGGACGCAGGAGCAGGGGCAGTGTGGGGAGGCTCTGGAGGGCGGCTTTCTCCTCAGCCCACCCTGCTGGCCTCCAGGGGGGCTGGCGAGCGAGCGGGGAGTGCGTGACATGCACGCTTAAGTGTCCGGCTTCTTTCTTCCCCTGTCGGGTTCATGATGTCAAATCAGGTGGCTCCTGATTGGGAGAGTCAATTTCATTGTTTTGTGAGGAATTTTTCCAAGTCATGGTCATTTTTAGTGTGTTCAAGGGGACCTGTGTCGCCTGATGACAAGTTGGAGGCTGGCTGGGATTCTGACGGAGGGGGAGAGTAGGTCTTCCTGTTAGAGTCCTGGGCAAGAGGAGGCAGGCTGCTCTCTTGGCCAGGAGGTAACCTTGGTCCCCTGCCTCCGGTGAGGCCCTGGCCCAAGGCTGCTGCACTGGCCTCTGGGTGTAACCTCAGTGGGGTTGATTTTTCTCAGCTGCACTGTGGTTTTGAGAGCTTCCTCACCTAGACTCAGGAAGAGGTGAGAATTGGTATCTGATGACATGCACAACGCAGGGTCCTTGTCCTGTACTGCGCTCACAGTTCTGGCCGCAGCCATCCGCTGCCTGCCCCCTGCCTGCCGAGGGAGCTCATCCTGGCGTCCTGGGGCTAGAGCTGCGCACAGTGAGGCAGGTGCCCAGCAGGATGAACAAGCAGCCAGCCGCTGCCCACTTAATATTGTGCTTTAACTGCTGTTCAGCCGCTGGCTCAGGCTCATGCTTCCGCAGTTTCCAGGGCGAAGGGCATGAGTTAGGTCATGAAGCGCCTGACTTTACCTGTTGGGTTTTGACTTGCAGTCATATAGCCTTAGGCGAATTACCTCTGGAGGGCTTGGTGTCCTAAACAGAAAGTTGAGATGGTATTTGTCACAGAGGTGTGAACCCTAAAGGGAAAGCTGGTGTGGGAGGGCACAGAGTTCCTCCTTAGGCCAGAGCCCTGGGCTGAGTCGTAAGGCTTCTGACAGAGACACTGGGAGGCCCTACGTTCATTCTCTACGACCAAGTGGCACAAAACAGAAGGGAGCTTAGCATCTGCTGCTAAGACAGGGGAGTCCGCTTCCACTGATCTCAGTGTGGGTCTGAGGAGCGACTGCTGAATACCTACCTGACCAAGGGGAGGACCCTCTAAAGTCCACTCACAGAAGTACCCCAAACAGAATTTCCCAAAGTGAGCTCTGCAGAGAGCCACTCCATGTCACTGGTTATTATGCAGAAAAAGGTGCTGGGTTGGGAAATGGCAGGTTAGGGAGCTGAACATTCTGGGAATTTCTGGGCCTTGAGTCACTGTACATTACAAATCTCCAGAAGGGGCCGAGTGGACAGTTCTTTCGCAACAGGTGGAGCAGGGCTCCTAGTGGCTTTCCTTGTTCCTGGGCTCCTCCGAGTGCACCTGGACCACTCTGTCACTGTGGGCGCTGCTTTGTCGAAGGCAGACAGCTGGGCCAGTGTGCAGAAAGAGCAAGGATGGGAGAGGGAGGCAGGTGAGAGGCAGCGGGTGAAGGGGACTGGGAAACACTGTGGCCTGAACCAGGGTAGACTTTTCTTTGCAGATGGTGTGCGGACTGTGTCTGTGTGCATGGAATCCGTCATTTCTGGGGTCTGTGGAAGCATGAGAGGGTGTTGAGGAGTGTCCTTAAAATCCCAGCTGGTCCCAAGCCTGTGAATTTGTGATTATTTCCTTTTGTTTGATAATATTTACTTCCTCAGTCTTTTTTATTTTTAAGCATTGTACTAGTTCCTGTGGATAATTAGAAAAAGTATTAGCAAGTGTGAATTTATTAGCTGAATGGTGGCACTAGCACAGGAGACACGGGCGGCAAACTCAAGACAAAAGTAAACAAAAGCCAATTTTGGAGATCTGTTTGAGAAATGGAAGAGAACTGGCCTGGTACCAAGGCTTCCTCCAGAACCACGTCAGCTGGGCTTGAGGGGTTAATAGGATGTGCCTGGCAGCAGAGGACAGAGCCCCTGCAGGTCAGTGGCAGCTCAGGGATGAAGATGGAGCCCGGGCGGGCATCTGCATGGCCAGGACTGTGAGGAGGAAAGATCCCTGCAGCCGGGAGGGAGCTGAAGACTTGAGAGCCACGTGGGTCTTGAAACCTGGGAGGGAGGTGGTGACAGTGTAGCTGGGCCAGGCAGTGAAGCAGAGTTAAGAGGGTTGCACACTGGGTCACTCTAGCACCTTCCGTGGCCCTGGTGGCGATGCCTGGAGAACCCGAGGCTGAAAGTAACTGGCGTTAGTTGGGTCATAGTTGCTGGCCTCTTAGGTTAATTTCAAGGATTGAGAAAAAGAATCACACACTTCAGGACACAATAAATACGGACGATTTTTATTTATTGGGTAACTGAAGTTCCCGGTAGTGGTGGGACAGCAATACGGTATCTGTCCCCCGAGAGCTGGTTATAGGTGCAAGCTCATGGGCCCTGCATACCCAAGGACTCGAGCCTTGCAGGAAACAGGCTTTCGGAAGCTCTGGAGGAGCAGGACAGGCCTGGAGAGGCGTGGGGAGGCCATCCCACAGGAATTCACAGCTGGAGGCACAGCCGAGGGGGGAGGGCTGAAGGGGCTGGGCCCCTGTGGTCTGTGCGCAGGTGGGAGGAGTGGACTCTGCAGGCCCAGCACAGGCTCAGCCGTGCTGCTCGGTGAACACTGTCACTGGTTTAGCAGTCAGTGGGGATGAGGGGAGATTTCAGGGCCACAGCAACATATTACATAGCCCAGATGATAACATAGAACAAAGTTAGAAACTTGGTACGAAGTTGGAATCTTAGGGTCATTGGCTATTCATGGATGGCCGGCCCGCTGCGAGCCAGCACTGTGCTGTATTCTGGAGTTAGAAAATGAGACGTCACTCCTGTTGCTTAGGTTTCGCAGAATTACATGTTGCTTGGGTTTGGAAGCTCTCTTTTTCCTTAGCTTTTTCTAGCCATGATATCTGATCTGTTTTCTGACGGAGTCGGAAAGTAGCGGCGCCTTGGTCAGCTCAGAGCACTCTGAGCCACGCCCCACTCCTGACGCTGCACACTGACTTTCTGCTCATAGAGGGGACTTGGAATCTTTGGACGAGCTTGTGTCCATTTCATGTTGGCCTCTGGGGTTTAACACTGGGGAGTTGTGCCCGTCATTGTCCCCAGCCTCACTCCCATCACCACTACCAGCATAGATACCAAACACAGCCGCTTGGAATAAAGTAAATTGACTTTTGAGCATCATTCATTCATCTGCTCAGTCACCGTTTACTCCCATTATGTCCCTGACACTCTGGTAATAATGATCAGTGTCAGCAGGGTGCTTCTGTTGAAGAGCAGAATTGGTGGCCCAGGCTGCACAGGCTGCCTGGAGGGTCATTCTGCTGAGGCCCGTGCTGCCTGCGGCTAGGCTAGAGTCCGGCCAAATGTTGGGGTGGTTCTACCTTCAGACACAGAGCTTGGATTGTAACTGGCCACCCATGAAGAACACCCCTTCTCCCTGATGAGGGGGAGTGAGTAAATAGAATGCCTGATTGGGAGTGTTTTAAAGCCACAGTTTCTTGAAAATAGGCGCCCTCATGTTTGAGATGGCAAATGGGGTGCGCAAGTTCCGTTCGACGTGTCTGTGATCTCCTGGTTTTACATTCTAGAGAGACTTAAGGGACATCAGGTAGTCACCCTGCAGAGATGACAGTGACAGATTAGGCTGGCTAATCTGAATGCTCATCTGTTCAGTGTATGCCCAGGTGACAAGACCATGCTGCCTGCGCTTTCCCTGTTGCCTCGCACCGTTGTGCTGGTTGGTGGGGACTCAGGGCGGCTGGCATTCAAACCCCACGGGAGGGTGCAGCCTTAGTCTGCCATTTCAGGAGGGTTCACAGGACCAGACCCGGTTCCAGTGTGTGCAGAGGCAGAGGAGTCAGCAGTTTCAGTTCTCTGTGGAGCCATCTAGTGTGGAAAAGGTGGCCTTAAAGAGAGCAGAGACCTCTTAAAAATGATTTAATTGACTCATAAGAGTCTTCCTAGGGCTGGGGTTGTAGCTCAGCGGTAGAGCGCTTGCCTTGCATGTGTGAAGCCCTGGGTTCGATCCTTAGCACCATGTAAAAATAAATAAATAAAAATAAAGCTATTGTGTCCATCTACAATTAAAAAAAAAAAGTCTTCCTAGCATCACGGTGCTAGGACAGAGATTGGGGCTGGAGACCAGCTTTTCTACAACTGATGAGTATTGACAGAAATTCCCCTGAGCCCTTCCAGGAAATGTTAGTGTCCTGAAAACACTGAATCCAGTGTGGAAAGTAGAGATGTGGCCTTGTCGGGTTTTAGAGCTGAAAGAGGTTTTAAAGGTGCAAAAAGTAAAGAAATCCATGGCTCAGCGGTGGAGCGCTCGCTCACATGTGAGGCCCCGGGTCTGATTCTCAGCACCACATAAAAATAAATAAATAGAATAAAGACATGGTGTTCAATACAACTAAAAAATAAATGTTAAAAAAAAGAGAGAGAGAGAAACCCAAAGTCGCACGCTGCTGAGTTCCTGTGCTCTGCGCTCTTGTTCTGCAGTGAACACCTACCTCTTCATGATGCAGGCTCAAGGCATCCTTCTCCGGGACAACGTGCGGACGATAGGTGCCCAGGTGTATGAGCAGGTGGTGCGCAGCGCTTACGCCAAGAGGAACAGCAGCCTGAATGACTCAGGTATGTTCTTAGTAAAAGGGAGTCCTGGGGTGTCTCCTCCCAAGGGGTAAATTGGCTTGAAAATGGGAAAGGGTGCGTTTGAAGGCGAGGCGGTTGGCCTGGCCTCGCTGGCATCGCTCCTGCCCGGCGCCTAGCTCACTCCTGCTCACAGGCCTTGAGGGCGAGTGGGTGGCTTGTTACCTCTCCTGATGCTTTTCAGGCAGGTAAAGGGCCTTTCAGAATACTCTCAAAGACCCCCTTCCCTGTAGTGGCTACCAGTGTCCTGCAGTAAGCAGGTTAGGGGTCTGCTTGGGACCACGGCAGAGCAGGAGTTCCAGAAGCTACTTGAGGAAATGGTTTTGACTTATTTTCAGGAAACGTGTTTGTCCAGCTGCTGGTGGGAAGGGGAGTTTGATCAGGCTCCTCGGACTCGCTGCATGGCTTAACACTGGGCTTGTTGATCTGTTTTTGAGGTACACGTGGTGGGGAGGGGTCATGTCTGTGTGGTGCTCTGCGGTGTCATAATCTGGCGCTGGTTGCTGAATCAGGAGAGGTGGTCCAGCTCTTTGTCCTCTTGGACCCACTTGAATTTTTCCAGCCTGAGACGTCTCCAGCCCCTGTTCACGGGTGCTGTTGTCGAATCTGAACGGATTTCCATTTCATGATGATCATGTGATTTGGGGACAGTTTTCACAAATCACAGTGGCAGAAAGGCAGCTCCTGGAGCAGGTGCAGTGGGTGTGCTGGCTTTCCCTCTGGCCAGGCGTGGCACTCATCTGTGGTCTGGTCTCTGCTGCGTGCTTGGGTCTGGTGTGTGAGCTTCCCTTGCTTAACACACACCTGAAATAACCAGCCTAGGAGACGCTCACTGTGGCTCACCGTCTGGGAGGTCCCAGGCCACGGTCAGCTGGCACCATTGCTTTGGGCCTGTGAGAGGCCGTGTGTCATGGTGGACACTGGGTTTGAATCTCAGCACCACAGCCAAATAAATAAATAAAATAAGAAATTTCATTAACAACTAATACAAATATTTTTTAAAAAGACTGTGCCCATCAAGTTCTTCACCTTTAAGATGAAGCTTTTCCTTTCTTTTTAACTTTTCCAGAAACTGAATACAACAAACCTTACAAAAGGAGGTTTTCCTGTCCAGCCTGGGATGGTTTAAAAAAAAATTAGAAGGGTCTGAGATTTTTACATAAGCACTCAAAATTTGCCTCCTATTTAACCAAGGATAATATGCTTTTCTGTGGCTTCTTAGATTCCATCTAAGCCCAGTTGTTTGTGTGTGTATATATATATATATATATATTTTTTAGAGAGAGAGAATTTTTAATATTTATTTTTTAGATTTCGGCGGACACAACATCTTTGTTTGTACATGGTGCTGAGGATTCTACCCGGGCCACACGCATGGCAGGCAAGCGCGCTACCGCTTGAGCCACATCCCCAGCCCGTTTGTGTATATTTTTAAGTAGGTTCTTTCCTCTGACTCAGTCCTGTCTCCTGTCATAAGTTCTGAGATGGTCTGAAGTTCACTGTAGAAAGTGAAATTGCTTTGCTGTGAGAATTACCCTATGGTACTTGGGAAATCAAGAGAAAGTATTGCTTCTTGAAGAGAAGTTAAATCCTTAAAAGATCGACCATCAGCCTGCCGCTGGCCAGTTTAGCAGCAACGTAGGTTGTGAGTCCGCAGAGTGATAAGCCCTTCGCCCCTTCTCCCCGATGGGCTTTGGATCCAGCGCTGTACCACTGAGCTACACCCCTGGCCCATTTTGCTTTTTATCTGGAGGCAGGGTCTTGCTAAGCTGCTGAGGATTTGGGATCCTCCTGCCTCAGCCTCCTGAGTGGCTGCGGTGCCACCACACGCAGCTGTTTGTTTTGACCCTGTCTGCTTTGTCTTCTGAGTTTTGGAAATGACATCTGACCACATCATTTCTCTGTCTCCTCTCTAGCCGCCCCCTCCTGTCTCCCTTTGCTGTTGATCCAAGCCAGGGCCTCAAGCCTGCTAAGATGGGGTACCACTGAGCCATACTCCAGCCCCTCCATTTTTTCGCAGGGAGAAAATAATCTTGGGGTTGGATAGTGACTTACCGACCCCTGCATTGGAAATTCAGCAAGCCTGTCTTTGAGCAGTTGCCTCATTAAGTAGGCACAGAAGACACTGATGTTGGGTAGAGGCCCCCTGAGCAGGGCGTGCAGTGACCCGCTACTTCTTGGCAGTCCCTGTGCCATCTTCCCAGGGCCAGAGCTGCTCATTTCCTCTGCCTCTTCCACAACTTTTTTGTTTGTTATTTGTTACCAGAGATTGTTATTTGTACCAGAGATTGAACCCAGGGATGATTAGCACTGAGCCACATCCCCAGCCATTTTTATGTTTTTTTTTTTTTTTTTTTTTTTTTGAGACAGGGTCTCACTAAGTTGCTGAGTCTGACTTTGAACTCACTATCCTTTTGCCTCAGCTTCTGGAATTGGTGGAATTACAGGCGTGCACCACTGCGCCCAGCTGTCTTCCATTTCTTTAAAAGGTTTCTATGGTTACTAAGAAAGTAGATTTAATTTATTTTTTATTTTTGCAGAGCTGGGGATGGGACCTAGGGCCTCGTGCATGCTAGATAAGCACGTTGCCACCGAGCCTCTTCCCCAGCCCCTTTTGACATTTTTGCTTAAAGGATTTAAAATAAGAAATGAGGAAATTAGGTTTTGTTTTGTTTTACCTCTAAGGTGTAGTGTATTTGAGAGGTGTTGTTTTTTTTTCCCTTAAATGGCACATTATTAATGTAGAAGTCAGAAGAAAAGTATTGTTTTGTTTCATGCTACTTGTTACCGTGTTTATTTTTTCGATGTTTGAAGGAAGTAGAAGGCAGTTTATCTTCTGACACATCCCAAATAGCAGGATCCTTCCAGATGGAAATGTCTGGTCTCTTTTTGATTTTTTTTCCCCCTCTGAAATTTCCTGTTTCCTGTTGAGGTTGTGCCTTTAAGGCTTGAAACTGCCCTTGCCTAGACTATTCCTCTTCTGTTTTTGTTGTGGCCTGTGGCCTTGAAGGTGTGTCTAATGGTGGTGCTGCTGTTCCCACCAGTTCCTCTCTCCTCACCAGGGCCCCGTGCCAACATAGACCCATCAGGGACATGTTGGTCAGCAATGGGACATCCTTTTTTTTTTTTTTTCTTAAGAGAAACACATCTCAGAATCATCCAGGGTCATAGTTAGTACTTGGGTTCTTCACATAGATTTTGAAGTCGTTATTACCTTCAGAAGGAGGGTTGGCCCGGGATCGGTTTGCATGTGTGAACTGAGAACTTGGAGCTACTTTCTGTGAAATAGTTTTGCCTCTAAGGCTTGGACTTCCTTGGTTTATGTCTTCACATTCTGGTTTCCACAAGTGCAGGTTCAGTGTCTCAGGACAGGTCTAGCTAGAAGGGCAGAGTCTTCCTTTGTTAAGATCCAGTTAAAATCCCCTTCAGGCCACCTCTCATTGGGTTTTGCCACAGGTGCTTACAGAGTTGATGCCAAGTCCATGTATTTTGAAAGAATTTAGTGATTCATTCGATTCTTGGAGGCCCTTTCTCAGTGCTTTTTAAAAAATAATCTGAGTTGAAGATTCTGCGGTTCTAGGTTGCAAAGTGAATGTGAATACCAAATCTTCATTTTCATGGAATCATCACGAATCTAAAAGGACTGGGAAAGAGACGTCAGTAAACACTGCAAGAGCCACGCAGCGCGGTGCAGAGGCCCAGCCCGGGCAGCCCGCCACGCACCAGCCCCCTCCTGTGTGCGCTTGGCGCTCCCCTCTATCAGTCTGGAAAGGCAGGCAGAAGGTCCTCTTCCCGGGCCCCAGTTATAGTCCCTAGGAAAAGGGCGTCTGCTGCCACCCTCTGCAAAGCCCACTGAAGTGAGGGGAAGGTGCATTCATTTTTTAATGTCAGGAATCCTTAAGAATGAAGAGGGGAAGGACCCTCCAGCCAAAAGCCTTGGAGGTCGGAAAGCAGAGGATAAGAGCAAACCCGTGGTAACAGACGTCTGGGTCCTGAGAATACTGACTGCTCATGCAGCAGCAGGGACAGCCACAGCCAGCCCAGACACCAGAGTCCCCCACAAGCCAGGAATCACCAATGTCTGCTGTTTTGGGAAATAAGAATTAAGGTGCAGCGAAGATGAAGCTGGGCTGGACGCTGTTGAAAAGTGGCCAAGGCCAGTTCTCCTCCCCAGGCATCCTAGCACGGGAGGACGCGGGAGGACGGGGACCTCAGACCTCAGAGTCCCACTGTTTCAGTCAGCTGTTCTGTCACCGTGACCAAGTGCCTGACAAGAACAACTTAAAGGAGGAAAAGTTTACTTGGGGCTCACAGTTTCAGAGGTCTCTGTCCACTGGTGGCCGACTCCATTGCCCTGGGACCTGGTGAGGCAGCGCGTCGTGGCAGAAGGGCCACTGCAGAGGAGGACTGCTCAGCTCATGGCAGGGTCTGGAAGCAGAGAGGGAAAAAGAGGAGGGGAGAAGGGGCCACAGGGAAGGTGCGTCTCCCAGGGCACCCCAGTGACCCTCCTCCAGCCATGCCCACCTGCCTGCAGTCACCAGTCAGTCAGACTAGGATGGGGGGATTTGAGTCAGAGCCCTTGCCACCCGGCTTCTCCCTCTGAATCCTGCTGCCTTACGGGAGCTTCGGGACGCCCCCATCCAAACCATCTCCTCTCCCCTGCTTGGCAGCTTAGCAAGACCTTCTGTCAAAGAGGGCTGGGGCTGGAACTCGGTGGGAGAGCGCTCGCCTACCACACCTCTTGCTCCTCCTCCTCTTCTTGCTCCTCTTCCTCTTCGCACTGCGTGGACAAAAGACTGACCGGGTGGCCAGCACAGTGAGGGACGGTAGAGCCTCAGTGAGGCACACTGATAGGAACTCTCCCAATTTCTGTGAGAAGTTCTTCATACATCCAGAAAGAAATTACTGGCTGCCTGTAAAGATTAAGAACTCGGGGGCTGGGATGTGGCTCAAGTGGTAGCGTGCTCGCCTAGCATGCATGAGGCACTGGGTTTGAGTCTCAGCACCACATACAAATAAAACAAACAAACAAGAACTGGAAGGCTTCAGCCCTAGCAGCCACAGTGCAGCCACCTCGGAGGCAGGGACACAGCACCTTCACGTCGCAAAGGGAAATTATTTCCAGTCAAGAATTCTATAAACTGAACCACACCGTGACTCAAAATGAGAAAGAACAGAAACTCTGAAATGCACAAGGTTTCAGGACTGCGCTTCCTCTCGCTCCCCTTAGGAAGCTGGGGGGGTGTGAGGCTCAGTGCAACGAAGGTCTTCTCCTCGAGGCCTTGACACAGCTAGAAAGCCACTGGTCACACCTCCCGCAGGGAGTGGAGTTGACAGTCCTCGGGCCACAGTAAGCTGAGCCAGAGGAAAGGCAGGAGGTGGCTCCAGGAAAGCTAGGGGCAGACTTCCTGGTGCTCAGCCCTGACATTTACTACACCATCACGTCCACACTGCCGAGGACCCCAACCCCAGCTAGGGTAGGTGACGGTAGGGACCCTGGGGGCAGGAACTGGAGAAGGGAGGGGGTGACCTCCTCACCTCCTGTAGTAGGAAGTGGCCGACCAGCTTTGAGGCCACTTTAGGGCTGATAGAGGCAAATACTCAGTGTAATTGTCCCCAGGAGGGAGAGAAGAAGCCTGTGGCAGGAGGGGAACCTGGTTAAAGCCGTCCCCTCCAGTTCCCTTTCTATCAGTGGGTTCCTGTTTTAAGTGGTGGCTTAAAGCCACCCATGCCTGCTCCCAGCTGCACCGAGGAAGGCCTCTCCAGAGGCAGGAGGGATGGCGTTGCTCTCATGGACCGCTCTGAGTTGCTTTTCCCCTTGTCCCCCCAGATTACCCTCTTGACTTGAACCACAGTGAGACCTTCCTCCAGACCACGACCTTTCTTCCTGAAGACTTCACCTACTTCGCCAACCACCCCTGCCCCGAGAGGCTCCCTTCCATGAGTGAGTAGAGCGCCAGCTCCCCAGCCTCTGCTTTGAAGCAGATTAGTGTTTGTGTTTGTTGAACTCGCAGCGGTTCCGTCTGCTGGTCTCCCTCTCTGAAGCCCATAAACACTCCTGGCCTCTGGAGGCGGCCCGCTGCAGGCATTGGTGCTGGCTCCGCGTCACGCCTCCCAGGCTCGCCTGGGCTCGGCTGCTGCTCCTGCCCCTTGTTTATAAGCTGTGGTCTATTAGGTTGTCCTGGAAAAGGCAGAGACAGCCAACTGTGTCCCCTTGGTACAGATCACACTGTTGTTAGCCAGTTGGGTAGGCATATGTTATTTTCTTCACAAGCTGCTGTGTGTTTGAAAAAGTCTTGGGCCTGGTGCAGTGGCACACGCCGTCATCCCAGTGACTTGGGACACTAAGTTTGTGGCCAGCCTCACCAACTTAGCAAGACCCTCTCTCTAAATAAAAAATAAAAGGGGCTGAGGGTAGCTCAGTGCTAAGGCACCCTGCATCACTACCCAGCATCACTCAGCCAGCCAGCCAATAACATCAGTTTGTGATATTTTTTCTGTTTGGAACTCCACGTGTAATCTGACACATTGACAGCTCACGCTTTTTCTGTACTTTGGGGCTTCTTAGTTGTGCTTTTTATTTTTTAAGACAGAAGCTAGTGTTACCACGTCATCCTTTTGCTAGCATTTATTGTTTGTTGAGTGTGTCCTCAGCCTAAGTCAAAGACTAGTGTTCTGAGACTGGACACGATCCCCTGGGCCCCGGCTCACGGGCAGGTGAGTCCGGAGACAGCAGTGTGATTGGACCTGCATCAGGAGCGGGCTAACACACCTGAGCTCAGCCACTCTGTCCTTCTCTGAGAAACTCAGCTGCCGTTCTGCACCCTGGGACGAACTCTGAAGTCCTGACTCCTTGAGCAGCTTCTTATGGATGGCAGTGCTCCGCTGAAGTGCAGAGATGGAAAGCCACACAGAGGACCCCACTGTCCCCTGGCACACAGTCAGATGTGAAGGCTCAGAACTTCTCCAGAGAATGAAACCCTGGATAGAGGGGGAAAACAATCATTTTTTGTTCTTTTAATTTTATTTTTCCCTCTCTCTTCAGAGGGCCCAATAGACATAAACATGAGTGAAATTGGAATGGCTGACATTCATGCACTCTTCTCCAGAGACCCGACCATCAAGCTCGGAGGCCACTGGAAGCCTTCGGATTGCCTGCCTCGGTGGAAGGTAGGCCGTGAAGTTGGACCCCAAGAGCTGGAGGGTTCATCTGGGGTTTGCCATCCTTTCTAACCACCCAGGAATTCCTAATTGTGGCCTTTTTAAATTTGCCCTCCTCTAACACCACACCCCCAACACATTTGCATTTAGTACTGCAAAATACTGAATATTTTGAAGACATGAGTTTTCCCTAGGACTCTTGTGTAGCCACAGGAATTTGCATCATCCTAATGATGAAGCAAGACCCTTTTGTCTTCCTCACAGGAGTATTAGCAAAGCAGGGGGTGGTAGGTCTCGGGTGACACATTTGCAGGAGTCCTCTCCAGTCCTCTTGTGTTTCAGGCCTGATCGCTATAAGATCAGTGGGAGAGAAAGCAGAGTCAGGTCGACACTGAGGTTCATCCAGTGGTGTGCTGTGTGACCAGGTCAAGAGAGGAGACTTGACATGGTGCAGGTTGAGCTCATGACATCAGCTTAAATCTGTTCTTTCAGCAAGTGTTTCTTAAGGAAGGCTTCTGTGCTGGTCCCTTCAGGCGCTCGTGGTGCGCAGAGGTCAGGCAGGTCTGGAGCGCAGCAGTGTCCCACCCATCACTGGGATGTAAAATCAGTCTAACAACAAGCTCTTAGAAATATGTACATAGAGCCAGGTACAGCAGTCACACCTATAATCCCAGTGACTCAGGAGGCTGAGGCAGAAGGATCACAAGTTTGAGGTCAGCCCTGGCAACTTAGCAAGACCCTGTTTCAAAATCAAAAGGGCGGGGCTGGGGTTATGGCTCAGCGGTAGAGCGCGTGCCTCGCACATGCAAGGCCCTGGGTTCGATCCTCAGTACCATATATAAATAAATAAATAAAGTTAAGGACTGGGGATGTGGCTCAAGCGGTAGTGCGCTCGCCTGGCATGCGTGCGGCCCAGGTTCGATCCTCATCCTCAGCACCATATACAAACAAAGATGTTGTGTCCGCCGAAAACTAAAAAAAAGTAAATATTAAAAAATTCTCTCTCTCTCTCTCTCAAAAATAAATAAATAAATAAAGTTTAAAAAAAAATCAAAAGGGCTGGTGCCGAGCTCATGGTAGAGCACTCTTGGATTCAGTCTTAGCTGCACTCCCACAAAACGTACAGACACACATGCACTTTTGGCTATGTATGTGATAATGTACGGGATAGTCTGTAAGTGTGCAGTGTGCATACAGCTGAAAGCTTGTTCTGATTTACCCATATGTTTACCTGTCTGTGGGTGTGTTTGCGTGTCGTGTCACAGTGTAGAATGCGTGTCTTCTGGGTGTGTTCTAGCGTGGATTGGTGGAGCAGGCCCTCCCTGTACACGCTGTGGTGATGTAAAAATGAGATTCGATTTGTTCTGGGGTGGACTTGCTAGCTCAGGTCTGTATTAGAGAATGTCAAGGACTCCCTGGGGACGGCCCAGACATCTGCTTCACTGTGAAGCAGAAGTTCAGGAACTAAGTTCAGGGACTAAGAAGTTCAGGTGACCTGTTTTGCTGTAATCACCTCCAGGTGGCGATCCTCATCCCCTTCCGGAACCGCCACGAGCACCTCCCGGTCCTGCTCAGACACCTGATCCCCATGCTCCAGCGCCAGCGCCTGCAGTTTGCGTTTTATGTGGTCGAGCAGGTACGTGGTCCTGCTCTCCCTCTCCTTTCTCTTTTGGGACCGCAGTGTAGAAGGCCGGCCCGTCTTCAGTGTGAAGAGCCAGGGAGCTGAGATCTTCGGACTGAGCTCCCTGAGGGGGGAAGGGCAGAGACCCTTCTGCGCTTGGTGTGAGACGTTGACTGGCCCCGGCAGATTCAAGTCCGGGATGGAAACGCTGCCTGCCTGCCTGCCAACAAAGGCCTCTTGTTATGGGGTTTTGCTGGCAGCTGCCTTGGGTGACGTCTTTAGGCTCCCAACCCTTAAGATAGGAGCTGCCTGTTGGTCCAGCTCAGAGAATATGGCCTTGGAGTCAGGAGACTGCACCTGCTGTTAACCAACCACGTGGCCCAGGACTTTCACAGACTTCTAAGCCTTGGGGTTGGTTTTGCTTCAGTCTAGGAGTATTGGATTAGATTTAAGTCTTTTTTTTTCCCCAGTCCCATGTGGTATTTTGCCTGGCTCAGTTACAGTCACATTATTGACCAGGCTTCTTAGGCACATTTTAAACATGTGATGCTTTAACTAGAAGCTCTAGGGACAAATGAACGGTTGACAGATTCCCCTCAGTGCTCCGATTCTCAACTCTGCGCACTGTTGGCAAACCTGTCCCCCCTCCCGGCAGGCCTCTGAGCCTTGTCTGGCCTCCCCAGGGGTCTCACAGGGAGTGAAGCCCAAGGAATGAGCACCACTGTTCTAACAGGGGAGGGAGTTCTGTTTGCAAGAGAAGAGCCCAGGGTGCTCTGGAAAGGAGCTTTCATTTCTGCATTGCTGTGGCTGGTTGACATTGCTGTAAAACGTCTCCGCTCATTAAGTACCAGATCAGGTGTTTTGGTTAAACCTCACGCGCCTATCCTGAGTCGGGAGTTTTGTTATTGGCAAGAGTGAGCAAATGCTGGCATTTAGATAAGTTAGGCGCTGCCTGTTGTGCACTAGCGTCTTCATAAGTCACCAGCCTCTTTATTCAGGGGCAGGAGTCTCTGGTGTGTTCAGGGACAATTGTCTTAGTTGAACCTTCAAAATAAAACAAGTCAAACAAAAACCTCTATTATTATATTTGGTTATGAAATAGAAACGGCAGATTGGTCGGCGTGCTGGTGGCAGGTGCTAGGGATGTGGTAAGAAGCAGAAGTGGCTGTGTCCCTCACCTGGTCTCCCTGTGCGTACTGTTATGGGCTGGAACTTTTGCCTTTGGCAGTCTAGGGGAGAGAAGCTTGGCTTTCTCACCTCTTACTGCCAAAGAAGTCGAGGCCAGAGGTCTTTTGACCTCTGGGTCACAGCAGGTGTCATTGATGAGAGGTGCTGGTCCCACTCACAGGAGCCCAGGGGTCTCTTTCGTTGGTTCTAGTAAGTTCTTTCTGCCTAGCAAGGATTGTGGGGGGTTTTTCCAGGCTCCTTTTCAAAAGAGAGTTCTTCCTTTAGGTCGGGACCCAGCCCTTCAACCGAGCCATGCTTTTCAACGTCGGCTTTCGAGAGGCGATGAAGGACCTGGACTGGGACTGTCTGATTTTCCATGATGTGGACCACATTCCAGAGAGTGACCGCAACTACTATGGGTGTGGACAGATGCCCAGGCACTTTGCCACGAAGCTGGACAAGTACATGTATCTGTGAGTGTCATTTCCCTGAATGAAGAGGTCTCATCTGAAAGGGTGAGAGATGCAGAGACCCTGAAATGCAGTTAGCTGCGGCCCCGTGTCCAGCAGCTGGTGAAGGGACAGCAGGCTGTGACACGTCATGCAGTGGAGTGCTGCCTGACAGACCCAGGAATGATGTGCTGACTCCCACCACGGCGCAGGGCAGCCGTGAGCCCTGCCAAATGAAAGAAGCCAGGCACAGAGGTCCTGGTTAGAGTAGCATGTCCTGTGTGTGAAAGGTCCACTTAGGGCAAATCTGTAAGATAGAAAGGAGATCACAGGCACCTAGGACTGGGGGCTTGGGGTGGTGACTGCTGATGGGTACAAAGCTTCTCGGAGGGTGATGAAGTACACTGATAATGATTGTGGCATGGTCATACACAGATAGCTGTTGAATCACTCCCTTTGAATTGGGGGTCAGGAACATCTCTGTAAAGCTATGGTTAAAAACCAAATAGGACAAATTCAGTCCTCTCCTTTGGTGTGTGTCAGCACCAGGAGACAAATTCAGCTGGCTCAGGCCAGCAGCTTGGAGAGGCCGTGGGCGCTCCGCTGAGCTGGCCCGCTGAACAAGAGGCCATCCTTCGACACACAGGAGACACGCTCGCTCTCCCTGCAGGCTTCCCTACACTGAGTTCTTCGGTGGAGTAAGTGGCTTAACAGTGGAGCAGTTTCGGAAGATCAACGGCTTTCCCAATGCTTTCTGGGGCTGGGGCGGAGAAGACGATGACCTCTGGAACAGGTACTGCCCTTAGCTCGGGTGCTGAGGCTGCGTGCAGGCTGCCCGCCAGGCAGAGCAGCAGCCAGGACGACACAAATGTCCCAGGAGCCACCTTTCTTTCTTTTTTCCCCAAGGATGGGGGATTGAACCCTGGGTTGCTGTACCAGTGAGTCCTTTCTATTGTTTATTTTGAGACAAAGTGTTGCTGAGGCCGTCTTTGAACTTGCCATCCTCCTGCCTCAGCCTCCAGGTCACTGGGATTGCAGCGTCTGCCGTCTAGTAGCCATATTTTAAAAGATTCAATTAAAAGAGGTGAAATTCATTTTGGTAGTGTATTAACAAAATATTTAACACCCTATATTCAAAATAGTATTTCAGTGTGCAGTCGATGTAAAATGCCCGTGAGTTGACCCGCTTTCAGTCTTTGAAGGCTGCTGGGCACTCTGTGCTCATAGCCCCTGCCCTTCTTTAATGACAGAGACCAGAGTATTTGCAGTCAGAAAAATGTTTTTTATGTATTTTAAAAAATGATAGTTATCACCTTACAAAAAAACTACCTCCCACCAAAGCAGCTGTTTTCTTTTTGTTCTCTTTTGACTGTAAAAATAAACCTAAATGATTTTTCTTATAATAAGGAATATACTTGGGCTGGGCATGTGGCTCAAGTGGTAACGCACTCGCCTGGCATGCGCGGGGCATTGGGTTTGATCCTCAGCACCACATACAAATAAAAATGTTGTGTTCACCAAAAACTGAAAAATAGATATTTAAAAAATCATTCTCTCTCTCAAAAAAAAAAAAAAAAGGAATATACTCATTATTAAATACAGGTGATTACAAAAATTCATTACCCACAACCTGAACACCCAGAAATAACATTCATTACCATCTCAGTGAGTTTGTCTTTAAATAAAAAGTGGAAGGTGGCGCAGGTACAGTGGCGCACATCTGTGATCCTAACTGAGGCAGGAGAATCTCAAGTTTGAGGCCAGTCTTGGCAATTTAGTGAGACTCTATCTTGGGGGGAGGGGGGGGCTAGGGATATAGCTCAGTGGTTGAGAAACCTGGGTTCAATCCCTAGTACTACCAAAAAGAGAATTAAAAGTGATAAGTGGAAAGTTGGGGACATGGCTTAGTGGTAGAGCACCAGACTAGCATGTGTGAGGCCTGGGGTTCAATCCTCAGTAACTATCCTCTGCCCCCCAAAATGTATAAAATCTCTGTGCTCCCCCCACACCAAAAACAAAGATATAAAATCTCTGAGCAGGGCTGGGGCTATGGCTCAGCCATAGAGCACTCGCCTAGCACGTGCGAGGCCCTGGGTTCGATCCTCAGCACCACATAAAAATAAATAAAATAAAGGTATTGTGTCCAACTACAACTAAAAAGTAGTATTAAAAAAAATAAAAAATAGTAAAATAAAATCTCTGAGCATCAGTTTTTTAGATCTGTAAAATCACAGTAGCATGAGTCTCAGGGACGTGAGGATCAGGTGAAGACGTTATGGTGCCCCTTCCCAGTGTCTGACCGGCAGTGTGACATATTAGATGTATTGCGGGTAGGATGCCAACATTAAGTCACGTTCAGTGAGTGGCTCATGTAATCCTTTCTGCGGTTGTGCCCTGCTTTCTCTAACTGTCCTTGTCGTGTGCTGCCCACCCTTTCCCTACTGTAGAGTATGACATAGTGACATTCTGTTTACCGATTGCTTTTTCGCACCTGGGAAGAAGCCCTAGAAATGATGCAGCCAAAATAGGACTGTTTTAAGGCCCTTAAGCTACATTATGACAAGTTGATACCTTAAGTTTGCACGTGGCCAGCATTCTGTGTGCTAAGTGCCCACATCACCAAAGCCTCCCTAGTAAAGTGGCGTTTTGGTCGTGTGCGGTTTGTCCCTGCTGTCCCAGGAGGCTGCACTGTACACGCTCATGTGAACTCTCCGGTGTGAGTGGTGGGTGTTTATACATTGATGAGTAAAGAGTAATAATAAGGAACAGGTGCGAAAGGATTCCCACCGTCTGTTTACTTTCTGGCTTAGCTTTTGAAAATAAAGTAAATGTTGGTCATTAATTGCAAGTTAATTTTCTGTAAGTATTTAGATGACACGCAGGTATACAAACCCAGAAGGGTCTGAGTGTCCTCCCAGTGCCGTCGTCCTGCCCCTTTCCCTGGTAGTGCCCATGGAACAAGCTCTACTCCTTTTCTATTGGTGACTGTCAGAAGTTATAACTGTGAACCTCCTTGTTCATATGTGCAGGCATTTATTTAGACTAAATAGTTGTGCAGCTAACAGCCAAGAAATCCACGCATTTCTGCTGGACATGGTGGCGCACACCTGTGATCCCAGCAACTCATCAAGACCCTGTCTCAAAATAAAATTTAAAAAGACCCAGTGGGTATCTCAGTGGTGAAGCACCCTGGGTTCTCCAGTATGGGGTGGGGGTGCAGAACTTAAGCATTTGTAAATTCAGATTTTTTTGCCAAACTCTCCTTAAAAAAAAAAAAAAAATCACTTTGCCCTTAATTCTTTCAAAGCCGTCAACTCTTCATGGAAAGAACTGTTTGTGTTGTTGTTAATTTGTGTATGATGCAATTAAATTGCAAAACTTTGATATTAGGCACAGTTAGCATGAAGTCTGGGTGGGAACCGCTAGCCTCTGCTGAGCGGCTGTCTGGCGAGTGGTGCAGGCTGGCGCTGGGCACGTTGGCCCCTGGTAGGAGCTGTTAACTGGAAGTCCAAGTGGCGTGACTGGCGGGTCTTGCTCCTGCAGAGTGCAGAACGCAGGCTATTCTGTGAGCCGGCCGGAAGGTGACACGGGGAAGTACAAGTCCATCCCTCACCACCACCGAGGAGAAGTGCAGTTTCTTGGAAGGTTGGTGCCGCTTCCCCACTAGACCTCTTGTTCCAGCCCCCTCCCTGCCGCAGGCCCGGCCGGGGCGGATGACGGCGCTGCAGGTGTTCTGATGTAACTGTGAGGCCGGTACCAGGGGGACAGACCATTGGAGGAAATGTGGGCAGCCACGTCTCTCAGGGGGTCTCCTCTCAGCCCACAGGGAGGTAGGAGAAGCCCCCTGGGTAGGTTGCCTCGTCGGCTGGGGCTGCGCAGGTGCTCCCGAGCTTCACCCGTGGCCTTGGCAGCTGGGTTCCCTCTTGTCTTTTAAAAGTAAGGTGCAAGTAGGCACAGTGACATTCTCCATGCTCCTAGAGTGACTTTTCCTGGGCCTTGCAGACTGAGAGGTGGACTTTCTGTAGAAAGCAATTCTGATCCCTTAGCTCTGTCCCTGGGGGAGGGATGGGCACGGACACACTGTCACTGTCATTGGATTTGTCTATAATGTCTCACCTCCCTTCCCCACTCTGTCACCCCCAGCAAGTCAGTTAACAGGGCTGAGCCGTGGCTCCTCGCTGGCTCGGGGCTGGCCGGTTAGTGAGGTGACCAGTGAGCGCAGGCCGGCGGCAGCTGGGGGTGTCTAGGAAACTAGCGCCAGAAGCCGCGGCAGGATGGCCGGCCACCGCCTGTGGCCCAGAAGTGCTGGCCTGGCTCCTCCCCCTGGGCTGGAGCCCCCGCTGAGAGCCACTCTCATGGTTTCACAGGTACGCGCTGCTGAGGAAGTCCAAAGAGCGGCAGGGGCTGGACGGCCTCAACAACCTCCACTACGTCGCCAACGTCACGTACGACGCCCTGTACAAGAACGTAACTGTCAACCTGACGCCTGAGCTGGCGCAGGTGAGCGAGTACTGAGACGCCAGGGAGGACGCGTTTGCTTTCCCACCGCCACACGGACACGGTCCTGCCGGCTGCCCTGGGTCTGCACGGGGAGAGCAGAAGCGGTCCAGCAGAGGACCTCAAGGTTCGAGGAGACGTGACCGAGCACACGCACAACGCCTTCATTTGGGGACCTGCTGGGATGGAGGGCCAGCCCCCGGCTTTCTGTGCCCACGAGGTGGACATCTGTCCTGCTGCTCTCTCCTGTCTCCCACCCCAGCGTCCTGACGTCGCCAGTCTCCAGAACCCTCGCAGGCTGTGAGCGGCTGTGGCCCTGCCGTCGCCTGGCCAGCCTTGGGTCCCGGACAGCGCGGCCGGCGGCGGCTGGATCTCCACCATTCCCTGCATCTCTGGTGTTCTCTTGGTTTCATTTTTTTTTTTTTTTTTTAATTATCTGCTTTGGGCAGGGATTGAGGGTGGGGGAGGGCTTTGGGTACAACAACTAGACATAAACATATAACAGTCACTTCTTGAAGAAGTATAATTGTAAATAAGCCATGTAAAATGCCTTTTTAAAATTTAATTTTATAGCTGGCTCCAATTCAAAGCGAGGATTTATACATTAGATCACTTTTTTGGTTGGCAAAAGCAGGAACTCAGTTAAATTGCAGTTGAAGAATATCATCTCCCAAATTGTGGTCACTTGGAAGGGAGACAGGGCACATCACCCAAGAGCAAAACAATCTGACCACCTCACCAGTAGCTGGCCTTTCTGTTCCCTCCCTGTCCCTCCTACAGAGTCCTGCTTGGCTCCTGCTGTGCAGACCCTCCCTATAGCCCTGAGGCCCACTGGGGCCCTGTGGGACAGGAGAGGCGCTGCTCTGTCTATGCCAAGCAGACCCTTGGCTCCCTAGGCACTGGCTCTCTGGACTTCGGTTCTGGGCCTTCAACATCATAAGACAGTGGGCATTTCCCTCTGTTTTTCTTCTCTCTCCTGTGGACATTGGCCAGTTTCTAGGAGCTGTGCCCTACACAACCAGCTGGCTTCAGGGATTCCTCTGCTTCCTGTTTCCTCTGTTTCTGGGAAGATTCTTTATCCTCATGGTTCTGTTCTGGGCCACACAGAATGACGAGCAGTTGCACTGGGGGAGTGAAGCCAGAGAGCAGGTGACACCTGTGTCCTGGGTCAGCTGGGGTCCAGGGGAGACTCCAGCCCAGCTTTGAGGTTAGCAGAGCGCCCGTGCTTTCTGAGGTCAGATTCTGTCTTGCATTTGAATTTGTGCCTCTTTCTTTCCCCTGAGCCAAAGCCCTCAGTTCATAGGTCTGTCCACTTGTGCAGGATCCTGGAGAATCCTGGTTCCTCTCCTTTTCCACATGTGATTGGGAGTGCTTTCTGAAGAGTACTTCATATTTTTTTTAATTGCCTTGTTTGCCTTCAACCTCCTGAATTTTCATGGTTTACATGGGTGTGTGTAGGGCGTGTGTGAGCGTGTGTGTGTGTGTGTGTGTGTGTGTGTGTTGGGTTCCATGGACGTATGATCCCCACGAGCTGTGGGAGTGATTGGCCAGGCCTTATTTTTTGTTTTTTGGTTATTTTGGTTTGAGTTTTTGTTCTTTTGAAGAACAGAGTGGTATTTAGGAATAAATTGCATTGCAAACTCTTACCAGCTCAGATGAGAGAGCAGGTACCTGCCCTTGAAAATGCTGGTGAGTTATATCATGTATTAAAAGAAATGTATGCATTTCATGCGTTGAAATCCCCTGAGGGAACGGCAAGCACAGGCCCGTCGGATGTCCCTTGCCCAGTGCTGCCGACAGTGATCCCCCTCCACCTGCGCGCCCACCGGCCCCTCTCATCCCCCCCCATCACTGAAGGCTGTGGTCTGCTTTCCCGTGACGGACTGGGTGTCATTTGGAACTCTGCCAGAACAGATGTGTTCTGGTCCAGGGTGAGGTGTGTGAGGCAGGCAGGCAGGACGTGGGAGGCCACCACACCCTCCTGAGGACGGAGGAAAGCTCTCCTCTGCTGCAGGGCCATTCAGATTCCCTTCAGTCATGTCTGAGTCTTCTATCAAGTGGAGTTTCTTCATGTGCACTGTTGATCATTTATGCCCCACGTTGATGCCATGTGTAACCGTTATGATCACACAGCCAGGCACATTGCTGTCACAGCATGGAATTCTCGTGTTAAAAACACCCCTAGAACTAAATGTGACCTTGAGCATATTTCGGCAGCTGAAATTCTTCAAGGCTACTGATGGGGTCCCCATAAGCCAGTCTCATCTTGGATTGTTGTGTGCGAGAAAGGTTTCCCTTGACGCTGGTGTTTGGGGGGTGATATTTGCAGAAATGTTAATTTGACCTGCCAGGGACCCTGTCAGAGCTCCTTGGACATCAGGAGCCGAGCCACAGCCACTGTCTCGATGGCTTCCACTCATGCTGATGATGGCATTGAACATAGCTAGCTTCTTTCCATCACTACATTGATTTGAGTTTGCTCTTATGTTTTAAGAGGTGCCAGGGGTACATTTTTGCACTGAAACCTAAAGATGTTTTAAAAAACACTTTTCACAAAAATAGTCCTTTGTCATTACATTATTTACTCATGTGTTTGTACATTTTTGTATGTTAATTTATGAATGATTTTTTCAGTAAAAAATACATACTCAAGAACCAAACCTTGGTCGCCTCTCTCTTTTGTCTAGCACACTGTGGCTCCTCGGGGACCTTTCCCTTCTCAGCAGCCAGCTGACCTGTCCCTGGTATATACTGTGGCAGAGGTGCCTGTCTGCCCACGGTGGGCATCCCCTGCCTGGTTTACTCTTAGGGATTACCACGTCATACCTGTGAAGTTGAGGGGC